GCTAGTCAGAAAATCAGACTTTCTAGTCTTCCAAAAAATCTGAAGACAAATTTACATGGGGTTCCCAGAGAGACACAGGGAGCATCCCTCCATATCCCATTTCTCAACGCTTGCTGCTCTTCATTTGCATCTACCCATAAGCCAACCACTTTCACTTATGTCACTAACTTTGAGAAAGTGAACACTCCTCCTACCAAAAGACCAACTCTTCGTGTTTCTACCCCTGACTATAACTCGTTGTCTACTTTTCTTAGCCCCCAAAGTGGGGGCAGACAGTGTCTGCTGGGGTTTAGAGCTGAATCAAAGCAGCTGAACTACATGGAAGTTTGGGAAGATCAGTTTGGCATTGCACTGAGGATGGAAATTTGAATTTGGACACAGCTTCTGCTACCAGCCTTCACTGAGGATAGATTTGAGCGTTCTCCCGAGTTTCCCAGTAGACCGGAGCATCTCGCCTGCAGCCCGTTGTGGTGGGAACGTATTTCAGCAGCCCCCAATATCTGTTAAAGCCAAGCTGTTAAAGCAGCATCAGAGTGCTTTATCACCCAGCTGACCGCAGAGGTGGGATCCATCTCAGCTATCTTCAGCCATCTCAGAGGCCGGGGAGCCGGGTAGGCTCCCCTGCAGTCAGTGGAGGAAGATAGGCATCTGCAGAGAGTAATCCATTCCACATCCCTCTCTCCCCATTAACTGAAAAGGAGCCCAGATAAGTAGCTCAGACCAGACACATTACTTCTGAATAGCTGGAGCTAGACAAGACGAATTCCTCCCTCGGTGTTCAAAACACTAACATATGTAGTTTCTCATTACTTATCACAGTTGCAACGCCTGTTACTCATTGATTCAGGAACAGATTTCCTCGGTGCCATTTCCTTTACTTTGTGCAAAACTTTCATTGCGCAGTTCTTGCACCCTAGCACTCAGGAACACAAGTGACAAGATATCTCCTGCACAGACCCATGCGTGCACCTGCAGACCAGGAGCTGTGCATGTCTTGAGCAGCGGTGTCGAAGCCCCCGATGATGTAAAGGAGATGGAGCTGAGGATGCTTTTAAGCCCAGCTCTCCAAGGGCCCCAAACCCCCGTGCTCTGCTTCCAGCCATTGGAGTTTCACTTCCTTCCAATCATTTTGGAAGAGCAGCCAAGAAACAAAACGCTGCTTGAGGACAAAACGTGCGTGACCACCCTGCCCACGGTCATCCCTGCGACGTGCCTCCCTGCAAGACAGATGGCATGACCCTTCCCGCTCCCAGCCCTGCCGTAATCCAGCCTCCGACCGTTCCTCAAGCGGGTTCACTCCCCTTCTCCCCATGGGGGCATGGAGGGACCTGGATCCCGGGCTGGGGCATCTCCGTGGCGCTGCGCGCTCTCAGCGTGGCGGTACCTCGTACGGCCGCATGCCTCGCATGCCGGAACGCGTAGCGCCCACGGTCTGGGTAACGGCGGTGTGAGTCAAAGGGGGCGACTTATGAGTTTGGATACTACCATTTAAAGATAAGCTTCTCCATGGTTACCGCTCTCACACAAGGTCATTTTCCTGCCAAACCTCCTCTCCTTGCTCCCTGGCTCTCTCTCCTTCTCCCTTCGCTGTTTGTGTTTTTTTTTTTTTCCCCTTCCAAACGTGCTACATCAAAAGAGAAAATGAAAACATTGAAGATAATCACAGTCTGACTATTTTAATGCAGGCTGTAGGAAAGGAAACATGTAAGCCAAGTGCTCTCACTCTGCAAGCAGAAACACACTCTCGACCTCATAAAAGTAGTATCTGAGAAATAACACTTGATTAAAGCAGCCAGTCCTTCATTTAAGTAGGTGCTTATGGTAGGGAAAATATCCAAGGTTTCCCTAGAACAGGCTGCCAGCCTATCAGGAAAAGCAGGAACAGGCCAGACAGATGAATTATTGCGAGACAGCTGGGTTTCAGCCGGGGTGCGAGGAGATCCCCATTATCCCGTCCACCTTCCTTACACAAACGCCTCTCCCCAGAGAAACCGAGTCATTAAAAGCCAGCTCGTTCGCTCCTGACAGGCAATATGCATTGAGTGAGATTTTTATGCATAGAATGAGAAATACATTCTCATTTTCAGCACGAAATCTCAGTCGCCGCAAGGAGCGGCTCACTCAGGAGAGCGGTAATGGAATATGGGGCTTTACGTCTCCCGCCTCGCTGCCTGGCTTGGGAGTTACCCTAAAATTATTAGCTCATGGGTTGTTTCAGTGACCTACAGGGAATGAGTTTGGTAGGTTTGGTCTGGATTTCAGTAGGCAATAACTAGAACCACAAGTGGTGTTAAAGAGAAACCATATTAATGAGTAAGGACTGAGTAAATTGCCATGTATAGCCGTGCCATGGCTTTCCCTGCCCTTCGGGGCCGAGGAGTGCAAGTCAGTCACTCCACTCCACCAAGACCAGGACCCCCGACTATTAAGATACCCATTTTGTCCTCATTCGCTCAAGCAATGTGTGTGAAAAGCAACAAAAACACCTTAACAACCATTTTGCATTGTTTAGGAGCTCAACAGTACCTAGTAGGCACTGCTTTGAGCTGAAAACACCACAAACTTGAACTACCAAAGAGCTTTCCGAAGACTAGCTCCTGCTGACATGCTGACTTTTGAGTGCATCACTTTGCAAAGGTAAAATTCCTTTTTTGTAAGTAATTCCTCATTTTAATAGAGTTGGTGAGTGTGGGACAACCCTACATCTCTCCAGGAAAACAAACCACAGCCGTCCCTCTTTACTCTCTCCCTGCTCAATGCTACCCACAGTCGCAGCCTGAGCTACACCTGGGTCACTGATGGCCTATGGAGTCCAGAATTATCCACCATTGGGAAAACTTTCTCCCAAGCAAAATGCAGAATTCACCCTAAAGCGAGAGTGGTTTGAATCCTTACACCACCACCCCGAAATAACTTGGCAATAATTTATGCCACTTCCTCTGCCGCGTTACCACAAAAGACTCACTGAGCAGTTACCATCTGAAACCTCAGAAGAAATCTAATGTGGGGCAAGGAGCTACCTTTCATCTGTTACAGCACATCACACGCGAGCCCGTTCCCATCACACCACGCCACTAGATAGGTATCTTCAAATGAGACCACCAGCTGCTTAGATAAGAGCTTCACTGGTGACTCGTTCCCAAAAGCGAATGGATGTCAAGCAGGCAGCCAAACCGCTGTCGCAGCCCTGAGGATGCCTCCACTGCTTGCTTCCAATTTAAACTCCACAGGAATTAGCGTGAGCTCAAATTCCGAAGGAAACAAGCAAGAGGGTAAAAAAAGGCATTGCACAGAGAGGGAAGGGAGGTCAGGTGTGGCTTACACAGAGATGGCATTTCTTTTGCTATCGGTAAGATTCAGAATGAGAGCTGGGTATTTATGTAGATGTCATCAACATCCAAAACTGTCACACTGTCTTTCTCGGAAGGAAGCCTCTTGCTTGGAGCTTTACATGTCTTACTATCGGTAGCTGACACGTTTCCTTCTCTAACGTAGCTGAGACTGGTAACTGTCAAGGAAAGACTGTCAGGTCTGACCCTATATTCCTATATTTCTTTATATTATATATATTATATTTCTTTCTCTCCCATGTATCTCCCACGTCCCATGCTCTTCTCAGCACAGTTGCTTTTGTCATTTAGGGAACAAAGGAAAGTTGCTCGAGGAGACATTGACACGTGTACAACTGGGCAATAGGCAATATCTGTACAGAACTGACGAAAGAGCAAAGCGCAGCCTGAAGAGACTCAAGCATGTCTCCACAGACTTCTCAACCATGCAGACCTGCCTTCCCCTGACCCTGAGGAACATGACGAAGCGAAGTCAGAGTGTAAAGCTGCTGCTTTACGGCTGAAGCGAAAGGAGGACCCACCGAGTACAGCAGAAGCAACGTTCCTCAGCCTGGGACACGAGGCGTTCAGCAGAACAGGAGCCCGGGGTGTGTATTACCGTGACATGTGTGACAGCATATTTTCATTATTACACATTAAAATTAAAAAAACCAAACCAAAACAAAACTACTTAGAAGCCTAATTCTCCACAGGAGCAGTGACAATTAGTGTAAATTAATTTTGCAGATTACCAGGATTTTTTTTTTCCCATGACAGTCCAAGTTCCCTGTAGCAGCTTCATTAAATATGTGCGTGTGTGTATGTATAAATACACATTAATTTTTGAATTTTATCCTTCTCCCTTTTTCATTTTATTTTCATGATGCAGGAGAGCTGTGTCTGGCACTGACAAAACTCTCAGCGTTCTACTGAAAGGGAAAGTTCCCTGGCCCTGCCTTTTGTGCTGATAACCAGCCTATCGATGGCAACAAAAGCAGTGATTTGGACTTTGCGTTCTACTGGTGTCAGAGATTGCACCAACGAAGTCAAACTTATCTGCCCCGACTCACACACCATTATCTTTTAACTTAATGGAAGTGAAAGAGAAGCCTGTGCTCATTGCCCAAAGGATGTAATTATTACTTCCTCTCTATATTGTTGCTAGTCAAGGATAAAATCCAGGATATGACCTTTTCATTAAGTGTCAAGCCCGAATCCACCTGGGACAACCTAAGGAGCCTATCCTCATCCTTTCACTCAGTAATTCAGAGCAAATTCAGCCGCATACATCTCTGAAAGGAATCCTTGCGAAAGATCGGTTTAAGGAAACATCTAATAAATGCTGATCAATAGACGAAACCCAAAAAGCTTTCTGTTTCCTCCTGCATGATCCCGTCACAGAAAAAAAGCATCACGAATTTAACACATTGACTCCCTCCCAAATATCCTGCTCTATCTGCATACAGTGTAAGGTCACAAAAAAGATGATAAACTCAGAATATGAGTGATATAACGTATCAGTGCAGTAAAATCTTCAATAGAAACCTGAACTCCAAGAGAAGAATGCATAATAGTGTTGAATTCCTTCTATTTTTTGCTTTGTTATGGCAATAATAACGTGCCTTTTGAAGTTCATACAGGGAGATACAATGCCAAAAGGCAAATACTTACAATGCAAGAGCACTTGGTACATTTATTTCCTTCAGGCCTAAATTCTTCTCCTTCATTGTAATGTCTCCCTTCAAATATACAACCTGGAAAACAGCATTTGAATAAGTTTATCTCAGGATAGGATACTGTCTGTCAGCTATAACACACCCCACCGTAGGACAATACCAAAAGCAAATTGAACCATCCTACTTGATCCGAATCACTTGAGAAGCCTTTACAAAAGCCCTGAGAACCTCAAAATATCTTTTTGGGAGAAAGAAAGTATTCTTCTATAGCAGATAAATTTGCACCAGCAAAGTTAAAGCTAAGTCAGGTCTTCCATTAACAGTAGCTTTGAAACACTTTTCTAAGCTGTTTGATTTTTTGCTACTCATACTTACTCCCTGAGTTTATACTAGATGTTGGAGGAAATTGTAACAAATTAGAATATAATAAACCCATTATATCACAACTGGAGCAGTGCTTGCCTACAAAACCTCGGTTAAAATCAAATTAGCCTATAAAAACCATGTGAATTTGCCTCTGTGCTTCGCAAAAGCAACCCATTCCCACTCCCCTACAAAAAGTGAGTCTCTTTTTTTAGGATTACTCTTAAGACTCCCCACTGCTAACAAAATCTGTTGTCATCACCCAGGCAAACCCAGATGACGGACCCTCTGGAAAATGACATAAATACCCATGTGGATATTGCCACAGGCTCTTGCCTACGCATCCCCCTAGTCTGCATGTCCTCTGCTAAAAAATACTAAACACAGAAAAGCATCTTCTTGTGTCATTTAGTGGATTGCGAGCCACTGGCCCACATTTTAGTAACTTGTCAAGTATAACGGAGAAGTTAGTGGCAACCTCCCAGGTAACGATGGTTATCGTTAGAAATACAGCATCTTCCCATGAAATCTCACCTGGACACACAGGACAACACATTCCTGTGACTTTGAAAGGGTTTTTGCAATGAACAACACACTGTACCTCCGACTCTACGATCACTCCTTCCTGAAAGAGAGGCAGATCAGCAGATCAGACATGTTCATCGGTAGCGTTGTGGTTGCTTTAACAAGCAAAAAATCCACAATTCCTAGTGGTACAATTAAAGCACCGTGCATGCTGCGGAGCACTGAGTTTCAAAACCTGTTTTCTTTCTGTACCTGCTGCCTGGTATCAGGATTCAGGTTAAGCCACAGTCAAAAGATCCACTTGAGTCTCCCTGACTCCAGACACAAGATTTGCCTTAAAATGCATCAGGTAAGAAACCAAGTACCTTCTTAGGAAAAGGAATCCTGCTTTATCAGGAATCCTTAGCCTCGGTAATCTGCCATGCAGCTCTGGTGAAAACAGGCCAGACACAAGGCATTCTCATCCCCCTCCCCTTGGAGGAAAAAAGACTTAGAAAGCAGATAAAAGCATCTTGTTCTCTAGAGGGGAGACACTTATCTTTGATGCTTTGCCTGATAAGTATTAGCAAATTAACATTTCCTGTACTTCTTGTTGGAGAAGTCAAGAGTCCTCCTGAACAAATCTGGGTGGGAGGATCTATGCACAAAAGGCTGCTACTTTTTTTTGGTCACTTGCAGCTGTGCATTTGGAGGCAAGGGAAACCTGTTTTTTTTAGATGTGTGGGTCTAGGGTAAACAGGATCACCCAGTTTTGCATTTAGACCTTGAAACAGGCAATAAACAATTGCTCATTACATGTAGCTAGTAGTGATCAGAGTATCTAAATTTAAGGTGTGAGTATCTTTTCACTAAGTGCAAGGATACAGAATACTGCTGCTCCAACTTCATTCTTCTCAGTACACCTGTCTTTAAAAACATGGACAGAGTTTGTAGAGCAGAAGTATCACAGAAAAAGAGAAAACTCTTGAAACCGTTTTCTCCTGTTTGTAGAAGCTCTTCATATTCATTCAACTCTCCTCTTTTCCAACATTTGTGATTCTTAGTAGCTGCCTGAGTGTTGTTATTATTATAACTGGATCAAATTATCAGCAAAAATTGCAGATCTATTCACAGACAGAAACTAAAATTACCTACATATTTATCTGTTTTGTGCTTGAAAATGGACAATCTTGCAAATGCTGTGGTTGCAGATAGGCAAACTACCAAAAATACCACTGTGTTAATAGTGCAGGAGCCCAGGAAAAGATTTCGCTGCGAGTTTCTCTTAAAGAATATCCCAAGTAAAACCAAAGGACACATACGCACAAAAGTGTGCAATTACTAAAATAATAATTTGTATCTCATGAAAGGCTTAGCATCCCAAAAAGAAAAAGACTTATTTCCAGGTCAAGACAGCAGGAAATGGCACGGCTGCGTACCTCTCCTTCAGCAACGTTTGGATATCACGGCACTCGAGTCATATAAACCTCTCCTTCTGAACATTTGGTTATAGCTGTCCACATCTGAGTGGATTTAAATTACTTTAAATGCAAAGTTCATATTGCATTTTGGGTATAAAATATTTCAGTTTGTTTGGATCGTATACAAAAGGCTCAGAGTGTCACGGGAAAATCTCGCGACTCAATTAGCACGATGCCGACGACACCCTTACCTGGCACTGGTACATAACACAGGGATTGCTAGGGAGGTGCCACTTCATAGAGCTGTTGTACGTATTTCCTCCGAAACTGCAATCTAGAATAGACAGAAGCACGTCAGTCCGACTGAACACACCGATCCCGTGGGAAGTTGCTGCTGAGGATCACAGAGCAGCATCCTAAATGCCCCTCACCCTGTCCCCTGGGTTAAAAGAAGAGGTAGAGCAGAGCTAGGAGCTGGGACTGACAAGAGGGATCATGCCCGAGCAGGGTGGTGAGGCACTGGAACATGCTGCCCAGAAAAGTTGTGGATGCCCCATCCCTGGCAGTGTTCAAGGCCAGGTTGGATGAGGCTTTGGGCAACCTGGTGTAGTGGAGGGTGTCCCTGCCCATGGCAGGGGGGTTGGAACTAGATGGTCTTTGAGGTCCCTTCCAACCCAAACCATTCTGTGATTCTATGACAGCAACACCCTCCAAAACAGTTTCTCCTGGTGCGTGACTGGCCAAACTCCTTACAAACCACGACCATTCAAATCAACTGAAATTAGTAACGATTTACCTAAAAACGGATGTCAGTGGCTATTCTGCTGTATTCAGGAGCTGCTCAGCCACCCATGCACTGGAAGGGTGAGATGGAGCAGAAAAGGTAAGAAAAGAGCTGGAAACGTTCATCATCCAGCCTGGCCGTGCTATCCTCATCCATTAACCAAAACCCCTGGGAGAGCTCTTCAGCCAGCGCGGACGCACTGACATTGGCAGAGCTGCCTCTCCTTTGAACCTTTTCGCTTTCATAACAGAAGGGATCAACATCCACATAAACTAAAAAACATCAGGCTCTCCTGTGTGGGTGATGACTCTCTGAGCAGCGACATTTTGAAGTCCCACAGGGTTTGGCTTTATATGTCTTTGTTATATGACAACTTTGTTAACAGAACACAGGTTGGTTAGCCCGTGCACATGATCAGCACACGTTTTTTTTGTGCAAGAAGTTTCATTGGGCTGTTTGGAAGAAAACCCTCAAACATTAATTTTCACATTTTTGATTACATGTTCCTACTAGTTTCCCTTCCCACTCTTTCACTGTTTTCTGATATTTTGCAAAAGGGAAAACCAAAAAGGAACACAAAGATAAGAAGAAAATAACTCAGCAGAAAAGCAAAACTAGAAAAGGCATATTAAGTGGAAATAAAATATTTGTTTTAAAAGAGTAGTTTATTCACACAAAACTGTTTCAATTAAAAATTAATTCTTTAGACAGCTAAACTGTTTCTGAAAAACGATTTTAGAAGCAACACATACCCCATTTTCTGCAGGAAAAATGTCCATATTCTAAATACTGCTCTGAGGGTTTTTTCCGGGTCTATTTTATTCAAAATAAGCTTCATCAACGAGCCCATGAAGCCACCAGGAGTCTTGCCAGAGACTTTGAAACACAGACATATACAGAGAGTCACCAAGCACAAAACTACTACCAGTCAAACCATGCCCACGGCACCATTCTCTTTCCACACTCTACCTCTGCAGCTACTATTAGTCATTCTCTGCTGAGTAGGGTGCGCTGTCCTGAACTGCTTTGGGCAGTACAGGACAAATATTGAAAGGTACAAAGTATACATCTGAATCTCACTTTTTTCTTTTTAAGTAGCAGTGTCCCTGTGAACCGTTTTTGAATAACAAAAGTGTTCAGCATATTAATAGCATTAGCTCTTATACACGCAGGGTAACATGTCAAAAGAGGAACTTGAAGCCCTATACTCCTCTTAAACATTTTGAAGTCCCATTCTGAAAAATATCGAGCTAATTTTGTAGTACAGTCTCACTTAACTGCCTACTGCAAATTCTGATGAACAGCAGAGCCTGTTCAATGCATTTGGGCATCCTCGAGCTGCAGAAACCCAGGCCATACTGGCATACTGGTCCCAGTCTGAGGAGGAGTTTTACATGTGTTAGACACTCAAGATGTAACAAGGTGCGTCGTTAAATACCTTTGTGTGTTGTTTACTGGACGCATCTGGTGTCTTCAGCACCGTGCAGAATCAAAGGCCAAGTTGGAAACTACTACTGAATGCAAAATACCTTGCATATTTTTGCTCACCAATTATGTTCTTTAATTTGAAGTGCTTTCTCTGTAAGAAAGCTAATGACCCTGGGCTAATCTGCATGTACAGATGTGCATACTAAACTGAAATTTTCAGTTCAAGGATCAGGCTGGTTGAGAAAGCAAGAAGGTGGTGCATCCGTGCAGTCACGCTGCTCCTGTTTGAAGTGCCTATCCAAGCCATGCTACAAAATCCTCCGCCCCTCCGTGCCAGCTGTTTTCCCTGTGGAAAGCAGCAAGAAGGGAGCCGAACTCCACCTGCCCACGAGCCACTTCTGTTGCTGATACGTGGTGCTGGCAGCACTGAAGGATGGCACATCAGAAGTAATATGGCAGGGAGAGCTTGCAGGCAGCAAAAGGGAAATTTATAAGTGGGGACCAAGGATGGAAAACAGAAGCACTGGAGATACTAAGACTGCTCCCAAGCTTTGGCACAGGCCAACAGGTTAAGTAAAGGAGCCAGAGCAGCACTGTGCAAGCACTGATGCAAGGTACCGTGGAAGCTACATCTCATCAGATGTTCTGTTGAAGAAAACAGCACGAAGGAAGGGGAGAGTTAGCCAGTAACGCAGACAGGCTTGGCAAGTGCCTGGGGGAAGTCTGAAGATCAGGCAAACTGAAGACTGGGCAAGAAAGGAAGGGCTTTACAATCTCCAGGTGAGATTTTAACCTGTTCCTGACCAGAGGTGTGCCCTGACACTCTGCCCTTTGCACACCCCAGAGCTACGCCCACCACTCACTCTTCAAAAGGAAAAAGAAACAAAGCTCACATACCAGTTAGTTTTTCTGAACCTCCCTTTCAATGGACAAATCTGTCAGCAGACACCTGCAAACATATACCCGGACTCACCTAGTTCACCTATTCGTGTCATGGAAGTTTATGAAACTCACCTAAATTCATTGACACCTGCAAACATATACCCGGACTCTCCTAGTTCACCTATTCATGGCATGGAAGTTTATGAAACTCACCTAAATTCATCTGAGTTGAAACCCACCTGCCTCCATGCGCCAACTCAGTTGAGCCATTCTAGCTCATCCATGGTTAAAGGTCTATCATACTTGGCTTGGAAAGTAGCAGTCACTGAGTATCTCATACCCAAAGGCATCAGCAGAGTCCCTGATGCCAATTTCTACAACCAAGTATGGTGGAACATACTTCAAGTTCCTAAAAGCCATTTTAATTCCCTTTGGAAACATTATTACATTAACTTACTGTCTCCATCCACCATTTGAAAGGGAGAGCAGGAGAAAAGAATAGATCGAGAAAGATCAGAGCTTAGCACAATTACTTAGACGCCACCCACTTACTTCTGCCTGAACACATATTTAAAACAAAACTTTAAAAGAAAGGGCTACACAGAGGAAGTTTTCAAGAGGGGAACCCGAAAGTAGTACATGAAAAGTAACAGATTCGGCATTAACAGGTAAATTGGATCCCGTGACAAATACCCCTTAAGGAAAACCTTTAGGATTCCACATAGAGAAGGAAGTTAAATATCAGTGGTCTGTATCAATTTTAACAGAACTAAGGTAATTCATATCAGCCAAGGAGTGTGTCCTCATTTTTCAGTCTTTCCTCCTTCTTTCTTTAAAAATAGCTGGTGTTTTATTAATGTAAAATATTAACCTTCAGTTAGTTGTACATTTTGTTCCTACTACCTACTTCAACCCAAATAGTTCAGATAAGTCCTGGATAAACATGCAAGTTGAAAGTTGCTTATCTGGGTCAAACCAAACCACTGAATACTTTGAAGTTGGTCAATTGTTGTATACGCAGTGGAAGCTGCTAATTACCTCCTAGTCACCTCATAAAAGCAGAATTATTCTCTAGACTTGAGTCATTCCCGCACAGAAAAACGAAGTTTTAATAGTTAGATCACTTCTAATTTAGCTACTTTGTTTCAATGTTGCACACGTCTTACTTGAGCACCTTCTTTTCAAACATAATAAACCAACCGTTGGCTGATTTAATTTGAAAGAGAGCAATTTAATTCCAAAACAATAATCCTCATATTGAATTGGACAGAAATAACAAAAGAAACGAACTATAGCAGGTTTTGTTATTGGCATGTGGACAAGTTGACAATCAGGAAGCTGTTTGTCTTTCCAAATCCAGTAACATTGTTAAAATGACCCTTATTTTTCTTCCCCAGACACCGAAGCACAGAGTAGTATCACGAAGATAGAGAAATTGACTGTAAAAGACAGTTTAGTAGTGCTAAAGCTCAACCAATGTCCTCAGGAGTTCATTAAAAACAAGCCTTTATTACTCAATTTGACATTGCCTAACAAGATTCCGGAAGAGATTTTTGCTTATTTTAGGCTAATGAGAATTTTATAGACAAGTCATTTCCTTGTTCTCCCAAGAGAAAGTGATAGATTGGTGCACAATAGACTGGCTCCCCATCCCTCATTCCTTCAGCATCTTTCTTCTCCTATTAAGTCTTTTTCTTGCTTTCCCTCCACTTTCTATTTTAAAAAGCAACCTCTTTATTGGCATGAAAAATAAACATTAGGAAAAAGAAAACAGTCAGAAGACATGTTTTATTTAGTGTTTGACAAATTAATCCTCAGGGAGGTATCCAGGCATGCTAATACTAAATACCAGTTCTGGCCAAAAAAATAAAAAGAACAAGACCAAAACCCCAAACAACAACAACAAAAAAACAATAACTTGCACATTCTGCAGTATTTCCCTGGCATGAAATCCACTGGCCAAAATAAGAGAACTGTGAATCACACATACATCTATTACAAAATATATTTTCACGTCTTAATGATGCTAAAGCCATTGACAGCTACTAGAAAATTAAACTTCCTATTGGGTAACTCTGGTCTTCATTTGTCAACACAGAAGCATGAAAATATATATGAAATCTCCCATGCTTATTAGGTCTAACTTGAAACAGTGAAAATCCAACTCTTTCCTCTGTAACTGAGTACAACCAAAGCTATTTGCAGCTGAGCCATCACAATTACAATACCTAAGGGACACC